CACTACACTCCAGTCTGGGCGACAGAGTGAGACTCTAACTCAAAAAAAAAAAAAAAAAAAATCATTAGGTAACTAGTGGAATAGAAGGGGGAAAGTATATACATACAAAGTAAGAAATCACAATGGAGAAAAACAAGAAACAGAAGGAACTTTCTGTAAAACTATGCAAATAACATTTAAAAAACTGAATAAAATGGGTAATTATTATTTTACTGCCTCAATCTTTCAAGTAGCTGTAACAACAGGCACACCACCAAGCCCAGCTAATTTTTTTGGTATACATATTTTTTTTTTTGTAGGGAAGGGGTCATATCACTATGTTGTCCAGGCTAGTCTCCAACTCCCGGCTTCAAGCAATCCTAATGCCTCAGCCTCTCTAAGCGCTGGGATTACAAACATGAGCCACCACACCAGTCAAATTTTACAAGATTTTAAGAAGCAAATAATTTCAAGCTCTTTTAAGCATTTCAGGACAAAGAGAGAAAGAGCAACTTCTAAATTATTTTTATGAAATGACTATGTATTGTATCCCCCCAAAAAGAAAAGATGGTCTCACAAATCTTGAACAAAAATCCTAAATAACATATTAGCAAATAGAATCTAACAGCACGCAGTATTATATTATTATTCAGATAGTGTTTATTCTAAGAATGAAAGGATGGTTCAAACTGGGTAATCAACTAATTACATAATTTGTGTATTAAAAGAAGAAAATACATAATCATTTTCTACAGATGCTGGGTATTTTTATAAGTTTCAACACCCAATATTGAAGGGGAAATCAAAACAAAATAAAAATCAATGATACTTCCTTGATATGATAAAAATATTTATCTCATCCCCTATCGTCTTACTTAATAGGAAAACACCAAATATGTCTCACATATTCATATATGGGACACATTCAATGATGTACTGATGACAAAACAGTGATGTACTAGAGGAATCACTCAAAACACTTAAATAAGAGAAATACATTAAAGGCATTTCTAACTGAAATAATTTAAAAGGATTAGAACTGCCTTTATTTGAGATATGAGTCTCTTAAATTTTCTAGGTATACGATGAACCGAAAAATTACAATAAAAAGAGAATTCAGTAAATTAACAGAAAAACTAATTTACATAAAGTCCATCATGTCATATATACAAACATCAAATAATTTTTTTTTAAATTATAATGGAACAATGTAATAGCAACAATGTAGAAAATGCCCAGCAATAAACAAAAATGTTCAAATCCAAGACAAAAAATTTTACAAATTCCTTACAGACATAAAAATACACATGAGGAAATGAGAAGCCATAATATATCTATCAATCAGAACCTACTCAGGAAAAAAGAAAACAATTAAGTATTTCAAACAGAGAAAACAGACTACAGGAAACTGGTATTAGAAGACAGAAAAATTAGCCGGGCTCAGTGGCTCAGCCTGTAATCCCAGCGCTTTGGGAGGCCAAGGTGAGTGGATTGCCTGAGCCCACGGGTTCAAGACCCGCCTGGGCAGCGAGACCTCATCTCTACAATAAATCAAAAAATCAACCGGGCATGGTAGCACATGCCTGTAATTCCGGCTACTTGGAAGACTGAGGCGGAAGGATCGCCGGAGCCCAGCAGGTCGAGGCTGTGGTGGCGGGAGCAGCCACTGCACTGCAGTCGAGGCGACAAAGTGAGACTCCAACTCAAAAAAAAAAGGCACAAAAAGTAAAAGAATAACATCCAGGCAACTCAAATAGGAAGAGGTTACCACTCCCAGGGCTAAGGTTACAAAAGGTAGGGTTGCTAGAACCTAGTATCTCAGAGAAGGGGCTTGTGGAGCTGTTGATCAGTCCTCTGAAGAGAGGGCACCCTCTGCCCCACTCCCACTGCTGCTGATACAGGCTGAGTATCCCTTATCCAAAACGCTTGGGACTCTGATGTGTTTTAGATTTCTGATCTTTTGGATTTGGGGATATCTGCATTATATACTTACTGGTTCATCATTTTAATTCAAAAATCCAAAATGCCCCAGTGAGCATTTCCTTTGAGCATCATGTAGGTGCTCATAAAGTTTCACATTTTTAAACATTTCGGATTTCCAGAATCTGAGGGGGTGTGGTGAGGCTGGTTCTGGGTATGCCAAAAGAAGCTGGATGCTGCAGCCTGGAATCACAAGATAACTACCACTGTATAGGTATTGCCAATAAAGAGGAAAAGGCCAAAAAACAACAAGATGACCTTTCTCCCCTCCATCTCCCAAATAATGGGAGAATCTAACAGAAATCTAGCTAGCAAGAGTCAGGGGAATGAGTTTTGCAAAGCCTAGAACGCAGCAAGACAGAGCAGAGTATTACAAGGTAAATTTTGAGTTGAGAAACACTAGCTAAATAATTGGCTCAATTTACCCTTTTGGCTATTTAGCATATGCATTTGTACTTCCATAAAATAACAATTTCAACAACAACAATTTCTCTCTAGTAAGATGGAGCTATCCTTTATACAAATGAAGGTACCTTTATCTTCTCCCCAAAAAGAGAGAAGCAATGTCCCAACAGTAATTGTATCCATCTCTGGATGGTGTTAAGACCTCTTTTAATTGAATCACAATTCTGGAAAATATTTCATAACCTAGTATCTAAACTACAAATTTAACTACTATCAATATTCCTTGGACAAAATACATCTATAACAAGCAAATAAGAAAATACACACAGGACCATTGTTTCTATATAACGGATGACAAGACTATAGTTGATATTTTAACTTCCTTCTACCCATTCCACATCATTCCCTTTGCCCACAGCCAAGATCTCGGCTGGCCACATTAGGATCAACCTGCATTCGTTCAAAATCTGAACCCTTAGTGATCTTGCCTTTAACGGAATGCCGTGATTTCCCATTACCTTTTAACTTTGGACATGGAAGTATTAAGAGGCAGTCTAGAGAATGTTCTAGGCAGAGCTTTCTGTGCCAATCTGTAGCAATAACCCAATTTCCCCTTGGGAACTGGAATCAATCACCTCAGTTAAGTAACCACTTCTCTGCCTGCTGGTTCTTTAGCATGAGGAATCCCAAATGGCCAGATGGTAGTCTCAAATTCTTTTTTTTTTTTAGATTAGAAAATATAGTTTATTTAGAAAGTAAATTAGAAAGAGAGGAGATTCACCCCTCCAAGGTAGGAGAGGAGACTAAAGCTTAGAAAACATGGTGGTAGCCACAGCTCAAAGCGCACATAGCCACATCAGAGTTTAGTCAAGCAATGATCTCAAATTCTTAAGTCAATTTTTGTGTCACTTGGTGGAAGCAGGCTATCTATGAGGATTTGTCTGTTTGGACCTTTCCTGGCCAAGTAGTAATCTGTAGAGTTCTGTCAGAAAAACAGAAATCACTCTAGGTAGTTCAAAAAGAAGTTTAGTATAGAGAATTTGTTTTGAGGTATGAGAGAACTATAAGGACCAATGTGCACAATAAGGTAATTTGGAGACAACTGCAGGAGGCAGCTACCACCTACAAAGAAAGGAGGCGGGGTGTCCAGAACCTAAGAGCTTGGGGGAAGGGCTTCTGAAAAGTTGGTGCTATGCCCATGAGGAAAGGTATTACTTTCTTATGAATGTCGCAGAAAAAGCGATGGCTGAGATGGGTTTTTTGAAGGTTAAGGACAGTTTACTATGCATAGTCTATTCATCCTACATTCCTAATGTATCTTTATAACTGCCTGGCCACCTAAAAATGTTTCTGGACCATACTACCTTAACACATGAAAAGTATTAGTGAATATTCCAAAACCTGAGTAATGTAATGTGTCCAAAACAAAACTAGAAAGATCAACAGCTGGCCGGGAGCAGTGGCTCACGCCTATAATCCCAGCACTTTGGGAGGCCAAGGTGAGAGAATTGCCTGAGCTCATGGGTTTGGGACCAGCCTGGGAAACTTGGCGAGCCCTCATCTTTACAATAAATCAAAAAATTAGCCGGGCGTGGTTGCGCACGCCTGTAGTTCTAGCTACTTGGAAGGCTGAGGCGGAAGAATAGCCTGAGCCCAGTAGGTTGAGGATGCGGTTGGCCTAAAGACACCGTCTGATGTAACACAGTGTCTCTGACCAGAAGAGTATCCATTTATTAGGCAAACAGTGTAAATGAAATTAGGTATCACCATCCTGCAGAAGGTAATCAGAACCCTTATAAAGGGATCCACTTTGCGACCTAACATTGTTGCCAGAGCAGGGCAGATTCATACAGAAGTTTTTGAATACTGGTAAGTTTTTGAATCACATCTGGCTGCGCTGTCTCCTGGTTCCCTCTTTTTTCTAGGGCTGTCCCTATTTTCTGCAACACACATGGCATTTTTTCTGAAATGCCCTCTAAAATGCCCTGAGAAAAAGGCATTTACACACTATAAGGAAAGTGGATGGTAGTGAGAACAATGCATAGGAAGGACTCTATAGGATCAAAGAAGGATGCAGTAACACATATTTTCTGGTATTGAGGAGCTTGTATTTGGGTACACGAACAGATTGGAGTACACAGATCAACTAATTGCAAAGAGGGGATTTAGTAAGTCTACAGCCATCTGGCTGAGAAGCTGCTAGGAGGGCAATAAATACCCATAGATGTACACTGCAGTACATTTGCTACATTAAAGAACAAAGGTACAGAAAGAACATCTCAGCTTTGAACAAACAAAGGTGAAAATCAGGAAGAAACTCAGATGGAGATGCAAAAGGGCAAAGGCAGTGAGACGAGGATAATTCATGATTTTTTTAAAAAAGCTTCCCTAGCTAGCTAAACAGCTGTTAAACCAAGTCCCCTGATGAAACGGTGCTGCTGTAGACCTAAAACCCAAGCAGGGCAGAAAGCCAGTGAGGCGCAAAATCTGACCAAAAACTAGGCTTTAGTTTAAGAGTCTCAATCCTGTATGCTTGTGTTCCAAAGACCTGAAATAGAGAACTAAAGATTGCAGCTTATACTTCTTCTAACTTGACAGGAGATTAAAAAGGCAGAGCAGATGAAAAAATGGAAAGACAGGCTTGAGAAAAAGTATTATTCTACGGAAATTCCAGATGACTACCAGCCTGTCACTCAAGAAGAATTTCGAGAGTAAGCACTTGTTTTAAGGCGGGTACTATGGGATATCATGTTATGGGAATTGAGGACATAAGTTACACACGTTATTTTCCTGAACCCAGAAATTTATTCTATTGTCTTTTTTTAAATTTTCTACCCAATTTTAAAATTAAAGCACAATACTACATTTACTTAAAAAGATGAGACCAATTTTTTTATCCCTACATCTCTAAATAATAGGAACTGCCATTTATACTTGATATGTATATCAGATAGTTCTCTGCACAGCTTTAGGATATTAGATCTATAGCTGGCCATATGAAGCATGTTTTGGAAGCTTACAATACTATTTTCCCACTCAAAGCATTTCACAATAGGCACTAATAACCTGCTCTTTATACATGAAAGTGTATTACTGACTCACCTACTCTGAAATTATCTTTTAGACTTTTTTTGTATACTGTGGAGCTGGAAAAGGAGTTACACTATATCAATTCAAAAGTAAACCAAGTGATGAGAAAGCTTTCAGCTCTACAATGAGACACATGGAGGTAAGAATCTGTGATGCAATCCCTGAATATTTGTCTAACAAAGAATTATTCATGTATTATTTCCTAAACTTGTACCCATTTCAGGCACTCTTTAAAAGCACTTAACCACCTATCATCAAACTATTCTCAGGGTCAGAATTAAGTGCCCCTGCCAAGAACCATGCAGCCAAGTACAAACCATGAATATTACATACAATATGCCTCCAGTATATACACACTGGTACACACGATGGATTTTATAATGAGGTTTATTATTAAATTCTAGGAATGTGAAGAAAAAGTACAAAATAATGCTTGTAGTTCATGGAGCAGGTCTCTAATGAATAGTTTAATAAGTAGGCAGAGAAAGACAGTTTCTCCTAGTTACAGAGTATAAGAACTGTTGGTGCTTTTGAGTGCATCATGTACTGTTTTCTGAATGCCTTTGGCCATAAATACATTAATAAAGGCTTAGGATTCTTCTGGAAAACCATTATATAAGACCCAAGTAAAATAATCTCTCCCCATTCTTCAGAATTCAAAGTCTCTGGGAAAAAGCCAAAGTGTGGAACAAACCCCAACCACCTACAGAAATTTACTAGTATCTTCAAACTGGAAACTTACCTAGAAAGTTTCTAAGGAAGCACATTTAAAGTTTCCCCAAAATAAAACAAAGAACAGGGTGGGCATATCAGCATCACAAGAAGTCAAGTTATGTTTGGAAAGTATAAATGAGGATGCTGCAAGAGCTCTGCTTGGATGGTTGGAAAGTTGTATATGGCTGGCATTTTGGCAACCAGAGGGATACTCTAATTTTTCTAGGCTATATAAGCCTCCCTAGAATAGCCATATGTTCTCTTAATCCAGGCAACCATATGTTCTCTTAGTCATTGACCATAGCACTCACCTTTCGTATTGGTGCACAATAGTCCCTGAATTTTAAACCGTGAATAAAGAAAACTTTAAATTACTACCCACCTTCCTCAGGCCACTGTACATCAAGTTTTCTGAACTGGATAATTCACTGCAACAAGAAATGCTATGCTCTCTGCAGCTTCTCCCAAGATATCCACAAGGGAATCAACAAATGGCCTTTCCCTGCCTTACCATTCTCCAGATTTGTAGCCAGTTTAGTAGCCCCATTCTCCCTTAACATAGTCCCTGGGTGGGATCACTCAAAGTCTAAGAACATTAAGGTGAGAGAACACTTGAAGTCTTTTTTAACAGCTAGTAGAAAAACAAACATACATTTACAGTGACTCAGAACATTCAAGCTCTTTTATTACAAAAGTCTGTACAATGAGGTGCCAGACACAGCAATGCAATCATACTGGTGGATATATATATCTATATATTATTTGTATATAGATATACAGTTTTTATTTGTACCAAAGTAAAATTATCACAAACTGCCTAATTCTACCATCTACTGCTCAGTTATTACACACAATACTTTCACGTAAGTGCTGCCATGCCACTTTTATATAGTCTACTTGCAGCCAAACATTAACATTGAATAACTAATATTATGAAGCAGCTGTTAATTCTAAAATGAAACCAGTCAGGCCACTGACTTATAAAAATATGGTACTCATATAGATTTAGCATTATAAAGAAGGAATATATTATTTAAAACATTTAAATAGTGCATATGGGCATTTCTGCATGTGGTATATAAAATTAAACATTCATATAAAATATACAGTGCACATAAATGATGTTTGGATATACTCCTGTCCGGAGATCAAAAGAAATTAACTGAAATGTACACTGCATGATGGATTCAAATAAAAGTGATACATCTTTTGGCATTTTCAATTTCACTTTTCTAGGTATAGGTTATGAATAACCTAGTTGTATCAAAAGAAAACAACAAGAATGGGTTGGATTTAGTGCTTTTTAAATTCCTCAACTACACATTCACTACTGGATTTTCCCTCCCCCCAAAAAAGGCATTGCACACACAGGTGAAATGTGAAGTACTAGACTCGTTATTATTATCAAGCTACTTCATGTGCTTACTATGCAATAGTGCCAGAAGTCTGAGGTTCATGCTTCCCTCACCTTATAAACGATGTTGCAGAATTCCATTTTTATGTGGAACAAATTGTTAATATTAGCTAGTTAAGAAAACCATGCATGAGTCACTGCATGCAAAACATGGGTACAAAGTAAGACAGTCATCAATCCAAAAAGCACCAGAAAAAAAAAATTAACACTCAGATTAAGCTGCTTTTACACTGTTAGCACAAATAAAGACACCATTCTGTAAAAATAATTAGCAGAATGATACCGAGTACCTGAAGAAGAGCCATGCAAAGCTAAAGGAAAAAAGATATGTTAACAGTATATGACAAAGGGCATACCACTACACATCCTGTAAACAGCTGCTTTAAACAGCATGTGATTGAGATAAAGGTGGTCACTTTAGAAGGGGCTTTTTGTAGGGATTTTGCAGATTAAAAGGGAAAAAAAAAAGACGTAACCCCCTTGAAGATACATGTTCAAATGCAGTGGAATAGCCCTTGTTAAGAACAGATGTAGGCATAATGACAACTTTGCCTATCTAGGCCCATTTGCCTGAACACAAATCTGGGCACCATCAGAGTTCCTACATACTGACATGGCTATTTTCTCTCACATTATCTGGAGGTGGGTGGGGGAGACAGCACAGGTTCTGATCCAGACAAATCACATCATCACCAGTTTGATAAACAGTAACTCAGGAAACAAACAGTAACTTAAGTCCCATATGCAGCATGTGATATGATTTAGTTCTGTGTCTGATATGCAATGTGTGTTTTCAATATACTAAGCACAGTCACTTTTTTGTCTACCAACTGTTATCTTCATCCAGGAGCTGTGTGACCACCGAATTGCAAAATTTTGCTAACATACTACCCGTGAGAAGGTGTCACTTTAGAAATTAAACAGAAAAGTGTTCCAGAGTAGGACTTGAAATTTCAGTTTGATTTTGGTTTTCTAGGAAAACGGAGAACACAGTTGCATATGTGCACTTTTATAAGCTTTTCTTTCAATTTTTCAGTCATTCTGTAAGAAAAAGGCAACCGAAGAATTCAGTGTGAAGATCTTCCTCTCAATTTTCTTCAGTAATGAAAACAAAAAGTTGGTAGTAACAAAAAGCTTGTATTTCCAAAGTTCTTGAAGTTGAAAGGATAAAATTCTAGTCTCTTGCTAAAAGGATAGATCTGTAGTACAAAACAATTACGGAAACTGTATGCTTGCTAAAGGTGAAGAGGACAGTCTGTGGTAAATACGGAACATCACTTAAACTCCTTGGAGAGTGCCTACTTACTCTCCCATCATTTGTTTAGTGGCACCACAACCAAGTACAAAATGAGATACTCTGAGTGTCTGACAACATGAACTCAAGTACCAGCCAAGTACACACGATGATAGCTTCAAGGAATACAACTGACGCTATGATATGAATTTTCAAGGAGCTTAATTTATATGGATTTTGAAGAATCTTGTTTGCTTATAAGAACTTCAAGAAGCCTGAGCTTGGCTTTAATTTTCTTGTACTCCCTGTACTCCTCAAGCACTGGAACACGATCCTCTTTCTGAGCATTCCTAGGGGAGAAAATAAAATCTATAATGTTATAAAGATCATCTTTCTGGAAAATAAAGAGCGAGTAGTTGTCCTAATGAGACATAATGTTACTAAATATAAGTTCAAATAAAACACTGTTCTGCAAAAAAGTTATTGGACTAATTCCCTCATGCTCAAAGAAAATTCCTAAAATACTTTTTGATGGATTTCTCCACTGATAGACATTTAGCTAACTGTGGCTTCAGAATCGAGATGTAAAAGTAAACCATCATACTTGTAGCAAAAGAGTTTTCACTTTATATTAATGACCCAATGCAATTCAGTTTAATCACTAGCTAAAGCATCAAACCATCCTAAATATAATTATAAGCAAAATTTTCTTCCAATACTACAAAGAAATAGCAGGCACTTGGGAAAAATGCATTCCTGCATTTCAGATTTTCTTAACCATATATGCCAACCTATATAGGAGAGTCACAAAACAGAAGGAATTAACTTAAATGCATTTGGAATTTGTAATATTAACTATCTGCTTAGTAACACCACTACCTCAAAAAACATTTCTGAGGTCTAAGATAATTTAACCCCAATTTTTGGCCATCTGAATTGGAATGTATTTTCCTTAGTTTGGAATGTATTTTCCTTAGTTTTAAAAGAGACCCTCAGGGTATGACTAAATGTAGTGTAGTGGCTCATTCTTGTAATCCCAACACTTTGGAAGGTTGAAGCAAGAGGACTGCTTGAGCACAGGAATTTGAGAACATCCTGGGCAGCATAGCAAGATCCTGTCTTTATAGAAATAAAACAATTAGCCCAACATGGTGGTGCACACCTGTAGTCGCAGCTACTCAGAGGCTGAGGTGGAAGAATCACCTGAGCCCAGATAGTCAAGGCTACAGCGAACTGCGTGACTATGCCTCTACACTACAGCCTGGACAACAAAGTGAGATCCCAAATCAAAAAACTAAAAAAATAAAAGAACTTCTTAGGGTCAGTTGTGCATTACCCACTTAGATAAGGGCATACGCCATATAGGAGCCACATAACTGCCATACCTTGGAAATGGGCAGCCTTAAATGACTGAACAAGCAGTCCAATCACAATGGTCTCAGTATAAAATTAAAAATCCAAACTAGTTGAGGCTACTACTCCTGTTAAGGGATCCTTTCTAAAATGAGAAACATCTCATATTTCACAACCACTTCCCAAAGGGCAAGGAAGTAGAATTAAAGAATCACTGCTACACAACCAAGACTCCCTAGAAAAACCTTAAAATATTTTATCAGATGTTTACACCAGCTCTGACTTTTCCTTGCCATCAAAAGCAGGGGCTCAGAGCAAAAAGGAATGTTTTAAATTTATTTTCAGTGCTAACACCCTTTATATACAACTTCATTCTAATCTCATATATGCCACTATAGTAACATATGGGCAACTTGTGAGTTAACGATGACTCAATTTTGTGATGCTCAACAAACCTTCCATTTTGTTGATAAAATGCTTCTTCAAATTCCCGTAATGTTTTACGTAGTTTCTTTTTTTCAGCTCTGGCTTTCCAAAGCTGTTCCAGTAATTCAGGCCTAAAATTGAAATGGGAGGGAAAAAACAGTATTGCAAGAGCACAGTTGATTCATTACCTTCTTAACAGTAGTTCTAGCCCTGAATACAAACTAAAATCAGCTGGGATAATTGCACATCTGCACTCCAGCCTGGGTGACAGAGCGATACCCTGTCTCAAAAAAAAAAAAAAAAAAAAGCCGAGGAACTTTTAGAACATCCCAATGCCTAAGCTCCACCACAAACCAATGAAATCAGAATAGCTAAAGGTAGGGCTCAGCATCAATACTTTAAAAAACAAAAAAAAATCTCCCCAGGTGATTATAAAGTGGAGTCAGGGTTAAGAACCACTGTCATACACCATATAATCCAAAGGTAAAGAAGCTGATATAGAAATACAGAACAAGCTAACAGATTAAACTCTTGACTGGTTTTTGTACTTTGTTATATATCAACTGTAAGATTTTTTTTTTTTTTTTTTTGAGTTGGAGTCTCACTCTGTCACCCAGACTGGAGTGCAATGGCATGCTCATGGCCACCACAGTCTTGACCTGCTGGGCTTAGGTGATCCTTCTGCCTCAGCCTTCCAAGTAGCTGGAACTATAGGCATGCACCACCATGCCCGGTTAAGTTTTTATTTATTGTGGAGCTGAGGTCTCGCCAAGTTGCCCAGGCTAGTCTCGAACCCCTAGGCTCAGGCAATCCTCTGGCCTCCGCCTCCCAAAGTGCTGGGATTATAGGCATGAGCCACTGTGACTGCAACTATAGGTTTTTTAAAAGATTTTTAAAACACTAATGTTTAATAAAGAAAATCAAATGACAATATTTAATTGTAAGCTACACTTTAAAGTAGTGTATCCTTTGACTAATCTCTTGTATTAATTTCCCAGTGCTCAATTATTTAACACAGAATTTCTTGGCATATAAATTTTATTATACAAATAAGTTAGAATCACAAGTCACAAATAGGCTAAAATACATACATAGAAGCTGCTCGAGTACTTGACAATCGGAGATCCAAAGCCAGTTTTTCTTGATTTTCATCAGCATCAGATTCAGAGTTTTCCAATGAAGACTGTACCTGTACAGCAGTTTTCAAGATATCACTTAACTCAGAGGACAGATTAACACCATCTTCTTCTTCTTCCTAAAATGATATCCATCCAATCAAACATGAGTTAACTTCCTTTAAGAAAGAGATCAGAGAGTGATTTCTTTAAAGGATTACCTTAATTTCTTCAAAAAAATGTGCAGTTTCACCTTCTATGATTGGCTGTAGTATCTGACCCCTTCGCTTGGTGGATGGAGATCCCTGTACCAAACAATAATATAAATGATTTTATATCTTAAGTATTTAAAGTGTTCAGTGAAGCTTCACTTCATTATGTTATAAATATTAAACTTTATTTTCAAAATCTTAAACATTTTATTTAAATATTTTTAGGAATTGGTTAACAAATTTATTCTTGCTTATATTTTTATTGATGTACAAGGATGATAAATGATAACTTATGTTGAGGAAAGTCTAAAAGGGGCTCATTCAACAAATATTTTAAAAATTCTCATAATAAGAACATACATATAACTTAATTGGAAATATTTTTCTTTTTAAAAATAGCTTCAATGTTTTTGGCCTGATGACCCTTCAATATATATGTGTATTTTAATAACAGCTTTATTAAGATATAATCACCACAAAATTCACCCTTTTAAAATGCACACTTCAGTGGTTTTTAGTGTATTCACAGTTTCACAACCTTTACCACTAATTTCAGAACATTACTTCAAAAGAAATCCTGTGCCCATTAGCTGTCATGTATTTGCCTTCTACCCCTAGCCCTTGGCAAACACTAATCTAAATTCTGTCTCTGTGGGCTTGCCTCTTCTAAATATTTTGTATAAATAAGATCACACAATATGAGGCCTTTTGTGTCTGGCTTCTTTCATTCAGCCTGTTTTCAAGGTACACCCACATTAAAGCATTTATCAGTATTTTGTTCCTTTTTTCTTTTTTCTTTTTTTTTTTTTTTTTCATTAATCAGTATTTTTTATTATGGTTTTGTGGGGTACAGTTAAGGGTTAGGTGTACAATGACGTTTCATTCAGGCACCCATTTTGTTCCTTTTTATGGCTGAATAATATTCCGGTGGATAGATATATACTCCTTTTTTTTTTTTTTTTGTTGATAAGAAGTGTTTTCCCATCCCCAGACAGATATTTGCTACTGTTAATCCCATTCCCCTCTCCCCCATAGTTTCCCAGGATATACTACATCTTATTTATCCATTGATCAGTTGACAGGAATTGAGGTTGTTCCACTTTTTGGCTATTATGAATAATACTGCTATGAACATTTGTGTACAAGTTTTTGTGTGGATATATATTTCCAGTTCTCTTGGGTATTTACCTAGGAGGGGAATTGCTAGGTCATACAGTAACTATGCTCAGCCTTCTGAGGAACTACCAAACAGTGGCTACAGCATTGTACATTCCCACTAGCAGTGCATGAGAGCTCCAATTTCCCCACATCCCCACCAGCACTCTTATTATAGCCAAACGAATAGGTATGAAACAGTGTCTCAATGTGGTTTTTATTTGCATTTCCCAAATGCAAACTAATGATGCTGAACATCTTTTCATGTGCTTATTTGTCATATATATATTTTCTCTGGAGAAATGTCTATGCAAATCCTTTGCTCATTTTTACTTGGGTTATTTATCTCTTTAGTTTTGAGTATAAAAATTCTTTATATATTCTACATACAGGGCTCTTATCAGATATATGACTTGCTAACACATTTTCACATTCTGTCAGCTGTCTTTTTATTTTAACAGTATCCTGTGGCCTGGTCTTGGTCCTGGCACTTTGGGAAGCTGAGGTCAAAGGATTGCTTGAGCTCAGGAGTTCAAGACCAGCCTAGTTAACATAGCGAGACCTTGTCTCTAGAAAACAAGTCAAAATATTAGCTGGGTGTGGTAGCACATGCCTGTAGTACCAGCTACTCAGGAAGCTAATTGGAGGTATTGCCTGAACCTAGCAGGTAGAGGCTGCAGTGAGCAGTGATGGTGCCACTGCACTTCAGCCTGGGCAACAGAGTGAGATCCTAACTTTAAAAAAATGCCCCTTAAGGCCCAAAAGTTTTAAATTTTTATGAAATCCAACTCAGTTTTTCTTTTGTTATTTGTGTTTTTGATGTCATATCTAAAAGGAAAAAAATTGTCTAACCAAAGTCACAAAGATGTACTCATATGTTTTCTAAGCATTTTTTAAATTGTACCATTTACATTTAAGTCTGTGATCCATTTTGAGTAATTTTTACACAAGGTGTGAAGTAAGGACCCAACTTTATTCTTTGGAAGGGGATACCCAGTTGTCCTAGCACCATATGTTTAAAAAACTATTCATTACTATCAAATTGTTTTGACTTAACTTTTAGACTCAAAACATGTCTTTACAATAGACAGTCATATTTATGAGTCTATAAAAATATAGAAATGC